CCGAGCACTTTGGTATGTTTGACTCTTTTGACTGATTGTTTATCAATATTGATTGATGGTTGAACATCCAAACTATTTATCCTATATCGTGTTTTATATGCTCAAATTGAAACGCAGCCATTGTACGTACTACGTGTTCGTAGCCTACTGATTATATTGTGTGCAAAACGTCAAAACTACAGTACATTTTGTAAATTCTGAAATATATTAAAAATATATCAAACAAAATTCTCACTAATACTATTGTATTAAAATACAACGAAATAGCATTACTCTTCGATAATTTCAATCATAGTCGAGATCATAGTTTAATAATTATTTTCAATCTATTATATAGTAATTCACCGTTTCCACGTGTTTTCAGTACATTCAAAAAGCCACAATAAAAATAAATTTGTAGGAAATAACATTATTTACTTCAAATTGTCAATCAGTGATAAAACCTTGACCTTGTTATTATACCGTCGCTTGCAACAATTTAAGGATGGACAGTCGGTCATAAAAACATTGCCTATTCGCGATATATTGATACCAAATTTATTAAATCAATATTTTAAGTTTCAGGCCAGTTGTACCAAAATTTATAAGCGCTAGCGCACCATATAAAAGGCGGATTTCCATTCACTGCAAAATGTCGCGCCATCGACATTTTGCGACACTTTCTTTTGAAATACAAGCAATCAAGCGCAACGGATCAGGTTGACTGAACGCATTTCAAAAGAAAGTGATTGCAAAAAGTTGATCTCGCGATATTTTGCACTGAATGGAAATCGGCCTTGAGGTTTCAGATGGCATGCAACATGTACGCACGGCGTACCTATTTTTTATTTTTGTAGCATGTCTGGCGAAACGTGATCCAAACCCTATACATGCATGCAGCTGTATAATTATCACCCTCACACGAGTGCATGAACTGTGCCTAGGGGGCAAATATATAAGGGCGGATTTCCTTGGATGATAAGCAGTCCAATATCTCACTGGAAAAAAATAATGAAATTCATACTATGGAATATGGGATTGCATCACTAAATTCATAGTATATCCATACTGTACTATTTCCATACAGAAATATCCATAGTATGGAAATTACAATTAGTAGAAAATTGGATTTCCATACTATTTTCAACTAAGATCCATACTATTTCCATATAGTAAGGATTTTGAAAAAAATTCCTCATTTTTACTGATATTTCAGAATATATCAATCTATACTCTTTAGACTTTAGCGATGTTAATTAATGTTAGCTATTGAATGACATGCTTTTCAAGTGGAGAAAAATGATTAAATATATAAAATTCGCATATTTTTACCTGGCTCTGTGCCTAATTAAAACAATGCATAACAAAAGAAAAAGCAATTAATCACGAACGTGTCGTAGCTTAGCTAAGATTCATTCCTACTTAATAATAATTATGAATATGTCGTCGTTTATTGAAGTGAAATTCATCAACTTAAGAGGCTGTCTCCGTAAAAACCTCCAGGTCAATATGGGGCTCAAAAATAGATTTCTCTCATACTCTAGTATTTTGAAGATCTATCCTTGGGAACAACTAAAATCGATGTCATTTTACTCAAATTTCCTTTAAATTATTTTTGGGGGCGATTGATGTTCGATCGACTGGTAACCAACTTGATACTCCGAATGAAGGCCAAATATCGACATATTTTCAGCGCTATTTTTCAAATAAAAAAAATACCTAAATTTCAAAATTTTTGCTCAGAAATATAGACTTATCCTTCTATTTTCGTCGGTGATACAACTTAGATCATTATTCTTTGGTATAAAATAGAAAACAGCGCAGTTATTGACCCTCCCGAACGGATAAAGGATATCGTCTCAAAATATGTCAACTTCGAAAGCTTATTTCAAAATCGTGGCACTTGATTGGCACATGACTTTAACTTTTCTATAAACTACTAACATTAGTCAACACAAATCGCCAATAATATCTTTCTGCTCTACCATTTGACAAAAATGACAAGCGCGCAAACTTTGTAAAATTTGAAAATGTGTCGAAATCGAGCATACTTTATTGGTAAACATAATTATTGATATTAACAGATAAAATCACCTTACACTACACTGAATGAAGCTTCATTATGTAAATATATGTCTTTCATCATTATTCTTTGGTTTGGCGCTTGAATCAAATTGTTTGAGTACAGTTTGGCTTCACGGATAGAGTCATTCAATGCCAGTGTGTCCAGTGTCTTCTGCGCGCCTCAATGCCACGAGTCCTGATTGTGACATACTATACAATCTTCGCCCTGTTCGCTTTGTTTACCTCTTTAACAAATACATGTTTAGCAAATAACAATATTCAATGAAATTGGAAAACTCAGAATTAGTCATACTACAGACAAAATTTTCATCGTTTTTAAACTGTTTTATAAAAGTTTCGTTAGAATGTACGAATTAAATCTCGGGGAAAACCCCGGGCAATGTGTCAAATGTCAATATTTCGTTAGTTTCGCTCAGTATAGTTTTCTAGCAACTGAATTGTCTCTAGGTTTAGAAACAATTATCAATGAAACTAGAATTCAAGTAAGTCACGGTTCTACTCTAAATATCTAAATATCACTCTAAATATCACTCATACGCCGGTATACGCTGACATACGCTAGGGGTATGCTATAGGCATAGGTTGTATACGTTTCAAGCACGGTCGCATACGGTGGCATTCGACGAGGCAGAAAATTTTTTTAAGCATGTTCAAAAATTTTGTGCGTATCGGACGTATGCTTTATACGATAAGCATACTCTAGGCACACGCTCAATACGCTAGAGGTACGCCAGATGTACGGTACTCATACGCTGGCATTGCAAAGGATTTTTGTGAATTTGTGCGTATGAAAATTATTTCATTGATTTTCATACGCTTCTCATACGTTTCTCTCATACGCATTAGTGTGACAGGGCCCTAAAGGCCCTGTCACACTATTGCGTATCGTACTAGCGTATGCCAGCGTATGAAAAATATCACTCATACGCCGGTATACGCTGACATACGCTAGGGGTACGCTAGGCATAGGTTATATACGTTTCAAGCACGGTCGCATACGGTTGCATACGCTGGCATACGCCGAGGCAGAAATTTTTTTTTAAGCATGTTCAAAAATTTTGTGCGTATTGGACGTATGCTTTATAAGATAAGCGCATACTTTAGGCACACGCTGAATACGCTAGAGGTACGCCAGATGTACGGTAATCATACGCTGGCATTTCAAAGGATTTTTGTGCGTATGAAAATGATTTCATTAATTTTCATACGGTTCTCATACGTTTCTCTCATACGCAATAGTGTGACAGGGCCTTAACGTTGCATGATCACAAATTGCGGCTGTAGTAGAAGTAGAACACCATTATTGTAAACACAAAAACCTCGTGCAATACTGTCTAAGACTACTATTTAATTCAATACAAAGAAAGGGAAATCAGAGAGCAACGAAACATTTCATTGTCATTTGATTGACATGTTTACGCTCAGCGAGTACATTTCTTTCGGTTAGGAGTTTTCCCCGAGATTAATTCGTACATTCTATAAAACGAAACTTTATATAACAGTTTAAGGTAAACAAACCAATGAAAGTTATGTCTGTAGTATGACTAATTCTGAATTTTCTAATTTCTTTGAGACATTTTATTTACAGGAGGTAAACAAAGCGAACAGAGCGAAGTTCGTATGTCACAATCAGGACTGATGCCGTCATGGCATTGAGGCGCGCAGAATTTGAACACACTGGACACACTGGCATTGAATGACTATCCTTGAAGCCAAACTGTACAGTCAAACAATTTCATTCGAGTGCAAAACCAAAGAATAATGATGAAAGACATATATTTACATAATCAAGCTTCATTCAGTGTAGTGTAAGGTGGTTTTATTTGTTAATATCAAGAATTATGTTTACCGATAAAGTATGCTCGATTTCGACACATTTTCAAATTTTACAAAGTTTGCGCGCTTGTCATTTTTGTCAAATGGTAGAGCAGAAAGATATTATTGGCGATTTGTGTTGACTAATGTTAGTAGTTTATAGAAAAGTTAAAGTCATGTGCCAATCAAGTGCCACGATTTTGAAATAAGATTTCGAAGTTGACATATTTTGAGACGATATCCTTTATCCGTTCAGGAGGGTCAATAACTGCGCTGTTTTCTATTTTATACCAAAGAATAATGATCTAAGTCATATCACCCGCGAAAATAGAAGGATAAGTCTATATTTCTGAGCAAAAATTTTGAAATTTAGGTATGAATTTGATTTAAAAAATAGCGCTGAAAATATGTCGATATTTGGCCTTCATTCGGAGTATCAAGTTGGTTACCAGTCGATCGAACATCAATCGCCCCCAAAAATGATTTAAAGGAAATTTGAGTAAAATGACATCGATTTTAGTTGTTCCCAAGGATAGATCTTCAAAATACTAGAGTATGAGAGAAATCTATTTTTGAGCCCCATACTGACCTGGAGGTTTTTACGCAGACAGCCTCTTAAGTACCAAAGGGGGTTCATTTTCAATGGTTTTAGACCCAACTCTCAACGGTAAAAATATGCGATTCTGACTAACATTTTTTATCGGATTCGTATTTGCTCATTTTTTATCCATTTGGCATGAAGAAGATATCATTCAACAGCTATAAAAGCATGATCTTTCCGAATGTGAAAAAATCTCGTTCATACGCACAGTAATTCAGATACAATAGCGCGCTGAAGTTCGATTACCTTTTTTTTATACACCCTGTATAAGTATTCAACCTAGTTGCGTTTTTCATAAAGCAACAAAACCTGTCCGATAATCATAATTCATACTAGTATTATAGCTGTACTTTGTTCTCCCGATACATCAAAATAAACAGGGCCGTAGCTAAACCGATAGTGAAAGGGGCATATTATATTTCCTTTCTGCCGCGACTGGTTCTTTTGAAAGCGATTGTTTTACACGGTATATGAACATGAATATGTAAACCCCCCCCCCCCAATTATCGCGTCTACGGCCCTGAAAATAAAGGAATTGCATTTAAGGAAATATTTTTGTAGATTCAGTAATCACTTGAAAGTGTGCTAGTTCGTAGAATATGCAGTTTCAAAATCAGCAAAACAACAAAGACTCCATGGGCAGGAGATAATATAACGCGTTAATAAAATGTTCGACATCTTTATTAAATGCATGACGGTTGCGAAATTTTCGTGTATTTTAAGGGCGGATTTCCTGAGACAGGGGCGGCGGAAAGTCGATAACTGGGGGGCTGATATTCATATATTCGTGTTCACAGACTGTAAAAACAATCGCTTTCAAAGGAAATAAATGATGCAGAACATGAATATATGAATATCAGCCCCCCCCCCCCAATTATCGACTTTCCGCCGCCGCTGTACTGAGATAATTAAACTCTCTCCGGCATAAGTAAAATTTGGGCGTATCAATTTAGGCATGCGACATGACCTGAATCGTTACGTGACCTATAATGTTTTTACCTATTTCGGTCAATGTTGCTTCCCCACTTTCATTAAATATGTGACCTGCTTACATATATGAGAAGCCAGTATAACTTTCCTTGTAGATTTAAAAATCTACAAGGAAAGTTATACTGGCTTCTCATATCTGTAAGCAGGTCACATATTTCGTGAAAGTGGGAAGCAACATTGTCCGAAATAGGTAAAAACATTATAGGTCACGTAACGATTTAGGTCATGTCGCATGCCTAAATTGATACGCCCAAATTTTACTTATGCCGGAGAGATACAATATAAAACTTCAGAAAATCTGGAAGATTTAATGAAAATCAGCAGATTTCACGGATTTTGCGAATTTGTACAGTGCCGAGAGAGTTAGACTGCATGTCTGCAACAAATAACCAATCAAAATCGCCTATTTTAATAATAACGACATATATATTGTCCGGCCAATATATATAATCAATCTTTAAACAATAAGCAATGTAGGAGGTATAAACGTCATAGTATTCTCTAGCATTCTAAATATATTTTTACATGACAATAGACATATCACATATATATGTAAATAGATTAAACTGTGATTAAACAGGCTGAGTGAATATTAGTTTAAGCACGCGTACGCCCTGCAGTATAACGTCAAGGAAAAACGACGTTAATAGATTGCCAATAATCATGTCCTTGCATGCTTGTCCATGCTGGCCTCATTCGATCACTGTCCCCGTAGCTTTCCTAAACAAGCAAGACAATTATGTCTTGTTCCGTCATGGTCAAGTTAAATTGCCAATAATGAATGTGTTTGTATATATATGAGGCATTTTGATATAAAATTACAACTGTTGTTGGTAGTGTTTAATTCGAAACAGTTAACACAGTAACAGTCTAGAATTTAATTGCTGGCATTGCCCCAACAGAAAGGGGAACTAGCTGCGCAAATATAATATCGACGATTGCTTTGGGGGAAGTCGTTTAGCATTTGTTCGTTAAAAGTGCCGATACAATTATGCACTATTTGACTGTGGCAGTTTGCAGGCGTGGCTAATACTGTGAAAACTGCTACCGAAAAGTCCATCCGATAATTTCAAAACATATAAATAAAAAGATTGGGATAAACACTTGAAAGCCTAAACAATATACGAGTCCAACACGCCGTCACAACATAATTCGAAACTGCAAATAAATAACGTTTGTAAAATCAACATAATAAGAATTGATAACGACTTTTGAACAGAAGCGAAAATTCGAAAAAGCACTCAGGCACTACAAAATTCCCCCATGGCCATGTATAGACACTGTGGCCCGTGCCAAAACACAATTAATTTTATTAAACACTGCGCAAAATGTCTTCAGAATGTAATTCTGACGACTGACTTTATATTCTAGATTATTCCAAATCTCAATGCAAATAGAGTCCATTGAACTAGGAAAGATTTAAGTTGTCATAGTTAGCCCCACTTCTTTGTAGAGCATTTCAGCAAGTATATATCACATGGTGCAACAAAGATGCAGTAATAACGGTATTTTCGTAATGGAGACAATTGTAGATAAAACTGGATTGCTTTTAAGTCTCTTTGACACGAGAATTATTATGGAACGAAGCCCAATATATACAGTTTGAAGATCAATGTTTATCAAAGCCCAATGGCGTAACATTTTAGGAGTCTTCATTTAAAATTACATGCATAAAGGCTTGCTGTTTGCTAACGGCGTCAAAGCTCGTGATGAAAAGTTAAATAGGCTGTTTGCTTCCCTTGCATGCTATATATTTGCAGAGGACAGGATTAGGATAAAGCAAAACGAACTGGTATAGATGGTGCAACTACCTGAAGAATATAAAACTTCGTAGGCAAACTTAGGGCCCCTAATTTCCAGACCAATTTCCAGTCATTTTTAATTTTATATTTTCCAGGTAGTTGCATCATCTACACAAGTTCGCAGTTTGTATTCTTTGCTATCCACAATTGTATCCAACATTTAGTATAATAAATCCTAAACGTATACAGTATATGAACATTACTGATTAGCTCGATACGTACCTCTAACAAATTCAGGAGCTACGATCAATAGAATTAACCAATAGCAATAGGCTTCCATTGTTCGGTACATACAATATACCAAAGATAATATGAACTACAACCACAGCAAGAGAACGAACCAGTTAGCACGACGCCACTGGCGACATCCCAAAATAAATGCGAACAAGGCAAGGTTAGATACTATGCTAATATCGACTCATTAATCTGCAAACGGCTGTTAGTAACTCGTGACTTGTTCAAGCACCGTGACCAAATTAACTATTGTATGTAAAACCGTGGCTGGATGCAGCGTAGAATTAAAACATTAGAGACCTTACGATTTCAGGACGGCAACGCGACGGCAACGGCTACCAATACAATAGATCATTAAAAAGAATTAAGTAAATACAATATATGAATAATTTAGGCACTGTCCTCGCTCTGTTTACAACGCTAAATCACAGATTTTCACGTCGTGATACAACGGCTGCATTCCAAGCCACAACAAGTGCAACTTCAAACTGGGTTTAGCAGGACTCTTCCCAACCATATAAAACCCATGTCTTTAACATCTAAAACTGTATCAAATTCATACGATTGATATATACGACGAACTATCTTTACTACCATTTATTTGAAGGAGTTTGTTTTGGCCGTCGCCGTCGCGTTGCCGTCCTAAAATCGTAAGGTCTCTAATAACCTACGGAAGGTTACTTAAAATTTTAACCTACACAAAGTTGCGCTAAAAGAAATCCAAATAGCAAATGGAAAAGATTGACCAAACATATTTGGGTATTTTATGCAATTTTATAATTCGTATTTGTCGATCTTTACTCAGTTCAGTTGTGTTTGTATTTGATTAAGCAAACTTTAACATATATGATATAACTCGCATTGCATTTTGACAATTGCGGTTTGGAGAAATTAGTTGTACCTCTCCAACGGCTACAAGAAAGAACTTGCTTTTGCAAGAAGGTTAGAAGTTTAGACTTTAGAACTCGTATAAGAACCTTTTTAAATAACCAGTTTCACAAAACACACAAGTCAAAAACGGGCAAACGATAATAATTAGACCTACGTTCACACGTACTACGCCGGAGCGGTTTGAAAACGGCGCAGAAAAGTCACAATTAGCCGTCGCGTTCACACCACGCCGGAGCGAAATTGTTTGAAAACGTCACTTTTGCCGTAACAATTTGAGCACGGTTTCTATAAACGGAGCGAGATGAAGACGGAGCGCTTGGCACCTTCATGTGAACAGATCACAGGGGGTTTCGGTGGCGCAGTCGTCAGATCAAGCGCCTTTCATCTCTGAGGTCGTGGGTTCGATTCTCGCTAGGGTGAAAAGAGTCCGTCAGCACTCTGTCGAAAGTCGTGGGTTTCCTTCCACAGGGCAAGTTGCCAGGGTGGGTTAGGATAAACATAGTTAGGAAAGTAATATCACATGCAATCGCCAATCTGATACTGACTCGGATTATTCTTGACTTGCAGCTACTTGCACATCGGCCATGTTGGTGGTATTTCAACGAAATAATCTCATTATCTTTCATTGAATTTGGCACCCCCATGGCCGCTATTTTATTGTTTTTCATTTCTCAAGGGGTTGGTTGCAAGTCAAGAATTCCGGTACGCATACAGTATGGTTTTCCCGTTTTATCACATACAGCATAGTGGAGTTAGACATTAAGTTTTCCTTGTGGCATTGGCAACGAAGGCGACCATCGTTTTAAAATTGGTATAAACAGAAAATTATGTTTTCTCAGTCGACTTTGTCGTGTCTTATGGTATATAGCTGGGGATTAGTCGTCGTTTTTTAGTCGCTAAACATTCTGGTTTTTTGTTTTCAAAAAATGGCATTTTCTGTTTTCTTTGTCATGTTTTTTGGCACACGGTGAGTCTTTGTGGTTACCTGAGTGTAGGGCAGTTAAACAATGGGAAATGATCAGTCTGGTTTGCGCTCACCGTTTGCCTGCGAATCGGGCCTTTCAGAACCGGAAATCTACCTGGGGCACGCGTTCGTTCTTTTGATATGGCAAAAGAAGCACGACAAATGGCGAAATTGCTCTAATTCTTTCTGTCACTTTCATTTGATCTCATCCGTGAGTCGGTCTCAACGACCTTCATTTTAGTCCGGCGACTGTACTTTTCCTCTACGATTTCTAGTTAAGCTGGATACATAACTGCAGCTCGTTTTATATGCGAAATATGACTTCCTCTCAAAGGAGCGATATAAATGGCCATGGCAAGTGAGAGTAGACAATTAATAATATATACATAAAGATATTACTCGACTGTGATTGGTTGATTTCAGTGCAGTTAATCCCAAACAGCAATGCAATTTTCTGTAATCGCAGTGCAACTTTCTGTAATCACAGTGCAATTTTTTGTAATCACAGTGCAATTTTCTGTAATCACAGTGCAATTTTCTGTAACAAACTGATCTGATTGGTGGAAAAACATTGTGATGATTAAATCAACCAATCAGTTTACAGCAATTTAGTTCAAAGAAGTAACGGTCACAGATTGCTTCAAAACAAAACAAACATGGCGCCGCGCTACACAAAGTAAAAGTTACCTTCGCGTGGAAAATATGGCTTTTATCTTTATTTTTAAATGGAAACGCATTTACCTTAAACAAGATTAACAAAAATTACATAGTTAGTGGAATTTTCAAGCTGTTAGCGTTGTATAATGTGATATAACAAAGCCAGGAAAACTTTGCCAGTGGAATGCTCGCTATAAACGCGTAAGTTAAAACTACGTACAATTGTCTCGAACATTTTTATGTAAATTATTAATAAGTAATAGCATGATTTCTCGTGAAATTTGGACTGAACATGCATGCACTCGTGAGTTTTTCAAAGACCTTTGAAAAACTCACTCGTGCATGTTATATCCAAATTGCACTCGAAATCATGCTATTACCTATACATACTATACACTGTATAGTAATTAATCTCATTATTTCCTTTTGCAAATGTAATGTATACTCAACAATGCAATCACTGCGCCCGAAGTTTTCTTATAAACAGGCAATTATGACAATTATGTCCTGTTGCGAATTTCGTCATGGTCGAGTTAAATTGTCAATAATGAATGTGCTTGTATATATATATATATATATATATATATATATATATATATATATATATATATATATATATATATATATATATATATATATATATATATATATAATTCGAAACAGGTAGACACAGTAACAGTCTAGAATTTAATTAGATAGATAGATAGAAAAACTTTATTTAACCACGCTAACCCCGTCAACCGGAGCTGATTTCCACAGGGGGCGTGTATATAAAAGAAATTACAAAAGTATAAACTTTAGAATAATTATTTACAGAATATTAGAAATAGTATTAGGCATGCAGGTATTAAAGTAAGTAATGGGAATATAACAATCTATTTACATTGTACATGACAAAGTATGACAACATTTATTTGGCACTTCTGGTGTCGATTTGAAAGGTATATGATTTTAGTAAGCTAAGAGCTTGTCCCTTTACTCCATAACATTCCAACTTTTTAAGCAGAATGTTATGGTCGACAGTATCAAATGCTTTTTTAGGTCTATGAAAACTACTAAGTTAAACATTTTTTTATCTATATTTACCTACCACTCATTGGTACAGTCTAAAGTGCTGTTGCTGTAGAGTGAGAATTTCGAAAGCCAAATTGGGTGCTACTTAGTAATTCAAATTCAGTTAAATAGTTGTCAAGTTGATTATATAAGATTCGTTCCATTACTTTACTTATGGTTGGTAGAACCAAAATGGGCCTATAGTTTCCAGGTATATTTCGCTGACTACCTTTGTAAAGAGGTACAACTCTAGCCATTTTCCATTCATCGGGAAAAGAGGATAAAGCAATAGCCTGGTTAAAAATATATGTCAGTGAATCTGCTATGGCTGGTGTAGCCATCTTAATAATTTTACATGATATCTTATCAATGCCAGTAGCTTTGTTGCTAGATAATCCACCCAACAACTGACAAATCTTATTTACAGTTGTAGGTTGGAATGCAGTAAACTCGGATGTAGCTTTTTTAACATACGTCTCAAAATTACAATTTGAGGTATCAATTTGACTTGCCAGATTATGTCCGATATTTGAGAAATAGTTATTAAACCCCTCTGAAATGTCTTTTGGATTGTTTAAAATAGTTTCTTCTAATATGAGTTAATTTACGGCAATTGATAAAACTAGAATAGTGAAGCGAATAGTGCAAATAGTGCGAATAGTCGACGAATAGTGCGAATAGTCGACGAATAGTGCGAATAGTCCGCGAATAGTCGACGAATAGTGCGAATAGTCCGCGAATAGTCGACGAATAGTACGAATAGTCCGCGAATAGTCGACGAATAGTACGAATAGTCCGCGAATAGGCGACGAATAGTACGAATAGTCGACGAATAGTGCAATAGAGACTTTGCAAGGCTTTGCAGCAGTGCTGTAGAACTAAATTTACCGGGGGGGGGGGCTCTGTTGACAAACAATACATGAAATCGTAAAAACATTCGTTGACGTACGTCAATGACGTCATACGTAATCGGTAAAAATTACGGGAACCACTGAGTATTTTAATAAAATATAAAACAACGGTAACTTCGAAAATAAACATTTTAATATTGTAGCTTTCGACTAAAATTCAGTCATCGTCAGGAAACATATTTCATATTTTTTTAAATTTATAATCATTCCTGATGGTAAAGTGGTAACCATATAAGTCATAAATTTTACTGATGGAATTTTATAGGAATTTTACTTGTAAGTTATGGCGTTGTAACTGAAGATTTAAGGGCTTAAGTGATTTCGTATGCTTGGAAAACGTGATTTACATCACGAAACAAGAGAAGGTATCGATTTATTATTTAAGCCTGTTTTGGGGCGAATTTGTTCGCGCGAAACGAAAACCAAATTTCGGCAATGTGATTGGTCAGCGAAAAAATTCGCCGCGAAAAAGTTGGATCAGTTCCTACTCTTTTACTTGTCGCTTCGCGCGAACAAATTCGCCCAGTGGAAAACGTCATTCTAGTGATTGTCATCAGTGGCGCCGTGGCCGGGGGGAGGGGGCGAGGCCCTCCCCTATTGTTGACACCCGTCGGAAAATTGCCAATGCTGCCGGAAATTGTCGGAAAATTGTCAAGGTTGTCGGAAATTGTCATTTTTCGGTTTGTCGGAAAAGTACTGCCCTTGCCCCCCCCCCCCCAAAAAAACACCAAAAAACATGTGCCCCACGGCGCCACTGATTGTCATTCTACTTCCTGTTAAATATTTGTTAAAACTCAGTGGTCCCGTAATTTTTACCG